GCGACATTACCCACAAACTGAAAGGTTAAGAAATACACTTTATTAACCTTGTTATTGATACAGTATTTATTACAGGTGCTCCATGCATTCTCCTGCTGTATATCATTAAGCAGGGCTGCCCGTTTGTCACCTATTCTGTTCGTAATTATTTTTATGGACAGAATTTCTGGGCGTAGCCAAGTGGCGGAAGACTTTCACTTGGGTGGTCTCAAAATCTCATCTCTGCTTTTCGTAGTTGATGTGGTTCTTTGGCTTCGTCGAGTGATGGCCTCTGGCTCGCACTGGAACGGTTCGCAGCCGAGTGTGAAGCGGTGGGAATGAGAATCAGCACCAAATCTGAGGCCATGATCCTCAACAGGTGGTGTGCCAAAAAGTGATTGTCTGCCAGAAAGTTGCTTATAAAGCTGCAGCGCCCAGATTACGCACGTTGACAGCTACTTCCGTGCGACTGATTATGAAAAAACAACAACATTTATGCATTTGTTATTAGACACAGGTATGCAGTTATGAAACTTTAACGTTTCTTGTAACCGAATTATGACGCTTGTCAGAAGTTTGCTTTCAGTGTGTAGCGCAGTCACGAATAACTACACGCATGAAATAATTAATGCCTACAGGTTTAGTATATATACTCTCGTTTATTATATTTGTTTTAGTATTTTATATTTCATATGCATTCATTTTGTTTTCTTTGTTCTTTTTAAACATACTGTAAGAAGTTTGTAAGAATAAATCATTCCCATTGCCATACACGGGAGGTAACTCTAAAGGTGGTGGAAATTACGGCGGCTGGCTCGAGTACATAATGTCAGTGGCACAGGAAGGGCGACAGTATTGAGTGACCTCAAAGTGATAGTGCAGTAATGCGCCGAAAAGGATGCCAGTTGCCGTTAAGCACCGAAGAAGAAGGGGGGAAAAACACTCGAGTTGGTATGAAGGAGCAAAAATGTCGCGATTAAGAAATATTTTTTCTTATTCTAAATTGAAAGAAAACATGTCCAAAAGAACTCAAAGACAGAGAAAACTTTCCGGAAGCTATATAGAAGGGTAAAATGGCCTGGGTGTAGGACCAAGTTCGTCTAGAGCCTCTAAACAAGAGTAATTCACTTTTTTTAAATAAAAAAAATGGCAACTTTGCTAAAGCTAAGTTTCGTCTTTGTGTTAATTATTTTTTTAATTATATTATAATTTAAAATTATTGTTTTTGATTGTCAAAAAGACTTCTGAATTATCAGTTGGTTTCTTTTTACTCAGTTCAACAAACTTCACTATTATTCATTAAAGTTCTGCATTCTACATTTATAAAATAACTTTTATCCTCAAAGTATGCAAGGTTTTATTGTTATTAATTATTATTTTGGGGGCGGGCGGGGGCTGAAAAACGCAACACTTTTGTACAAACACAAACACTGCAAGAAATCTACAGTGAGGGGAAAAAGTTTGACTGGAAGAACCTAACGCTAGAGTTGTAGAAATATCTTGGACTTCTACTATACATGGCTGTCATACGGCTACAGATATTTTGCTATGTATAACGTTAGTGTTTCTGAAAATCCTAAAAAAATCTATTTATTAACAAAATAAACTAAAAATAGACTTTATTATATTTTATAGTTTTAAAATTGGATAACAACTGACTTGAACATAATATGAAAAAATGTGTTTTCACCATGGGAACACTGGGAACATTGATTGCTTTAATAAAGTTATCTATATTTTTATTTTCGTACTTTCCATTTGTATTTAGATGGGGCGATGCATGGCAGATTCTCTGATGTTTCTCTGTTTCTACCTGTACTGATGCTAGCACGACTAAAACTAGCCAAGCAGCATTAAATATGTGAAGCAAGGCAGAAGGATATACTCATAAAATGAACAGAATCATGAGAATATAACACCACAACACTGCAAATGTAACAAAAATATGTCAGTATCAACTGGTATGTTATTTAAAATCTATATGAACACTCAACAGCTTATGCTCCGCGGCTGTTGAGTGACCCCTCATCTGGGACTCTCCTCAGCTCTTTCTGGGATAGTGGTGCTGCAGCCCCTCTTTTAGTCTTCCTTGGTCTCTTGTGTTCTGAGGGCCTCTGGATGTCTGGAGTTTTGATCTCCTCCATACCTGCTTCATGCCCTGGTGGACGGGGCTGTGGCCCCCCCACACCCTCTAACAGATCATTACATGGAACCTTTTAAATACAAGCGCGCTCATGCTCACAGGTGTACACACGGGTGCTCATACACACAAACTACACCCTTTTTGGCTCCTACCTTAAAGCACACTGTGCGCTGTCGATCTTACGTGCTGCACTGTAATGTTTAACATTTAGTATTTACTGTTATATTCCCATAGATCATCGTGATGTTGTTTATTCTATTGCTCTAGTCTTCTTCTGCTTCTTTTCTTTTTTCTTTCTCAACAGGTGATCCAGGAAAAGAAAAAGAGAAAAAAAAGGACACAAAGACAAAGGTGATGAAGCAGATTTTCATTGTCTTTTCTCTCTATCTCTTTTCTCCTTTTTCTTTCCCTCTCCTTCTGTTAACTTTCTTCTGAACTTTTCTTTTTGTTTTTCTTTCCCGTCCACGAGTCTGGCCTGATTACAATAACTTAGAATAAAAATAAGTAATAAAGATCAAATAAACTATGACAATCAAGTGGACCAGTATAGCAAAAGGCCCACTTGGGAAAGTAAATCTGTTGGGCATTTTTCTTGGCCTTCAGACAATAATTCTGATTGCTACTGTGCCAGACAGGACACACACACACACACACACACACACACACACACAAAAAGACTATGACATTAGAGGTTTTGTGCTTTGAAGTGATTGGTTACATGTCAATGGAACAGCCTTTGAGCTTTAAGTTATCTCATGTGATGCCATCACAAGCTTTTCTTTTGATGTGTGTTGATTGGAAGTATTGCAAAATAGTTGATTATATAATTATATAATTATAAAATAATAATTGTCCAGAAATAGGCTTTTAAAGGCTTTTATTTTTTTTAGTATATGCTGAATTAACAGTATAAGAGCCTCTCTACCAGAGTATCACTAAAATATAAAGCAAAATAAAACGTTTAAAGGAAAACATGAGGTTTAATAAATGCTTAGGGTCCCCCCCCCAATTGAATGCTTTCTTTTAATGACATCGTTAACATTTCTCAACAAAAACACATGAAAGTATCACTGATAATTCAACAATAAAATCGCTTCATGTTGTGGCCATCACACAGTGTTTTCCAAAGTGATTCACGAGCTGAAAGTGCGCAGATTTAACGTATATAATCCTTTGTTAGGTTTATTATTTTCATTTCACACGTAAAACACATTTATAGATTCATCCACCACTCCACCACTGTTAGTTTTGGATGCGCTCGGCTCCAACCAATCAGACCAATTTATGCAGACGGCGCACTAATCCCGTAACTGCACACTACCCATAATCCTCAAACGCCGTTGCTATGGAAATGAAGATAACAACAGCTTGGTGCTACCCGTTATTCCTTTATTTACTCTAAAATAATAACCAGCGATAATACGAAAATAAACTGGCCCAGTGTTTAATTATGTAATTACAAATTGCAAATTTTATTTTTTTATTTTATTTTTTACAAATTGCAATATTTATCTACAGCGCGCCTTTAGTGACATGTCAACAGATCTTAAGCAAGGCGATTGGATGGTTTTTACTGCAATGCATCTTGGGAGTCGTAGTAAATGTATCTTTCAACTCACGGTCCTGCAGCGAATCTTTCGACTCGACACGAGGCAGATCCTAGCTAAGTAAGTTGTAATAAACTGTGGGTAATTTGCATGTTAAACTGATATTAAACTTGAAATGTTTTCACAGAGCAGTCTGTGTACCAAGAGAACTACTTCTGCAAAAGTTTATTTAATTTTTTTTGGTGATGTATTCTCATGTGTAAGACACTTGCTTGGCCACCCAGCTAATGTTAGTGCTGCTCGATTTTAGCAATGTATCTTTTCTGTAATCAATTCAGTTTTTTTTAACCCTATTCACGTAATTAACTCAATATTAACGACTTTAATCTCGTAATTGATTTTTTTTCTAAATATGGTGCAATACTGCCTCGTAATATAAGTTATTTCTTTGGTCATAAATTATTTTTGTAATCATTTCACCAAAACAGACCTGAAATAATCCCTACATGTTCCATTTTCATTTGCAGAAATGACAAAGCCCAAAACCAAACCATGCCCTTCCTGTCAGGCTCCAAACACCTGCAACAGGAAGACATGCAGTGGATGTCTGGGCAGCCTGAACGTAAAGGAGGGATTGAAAAAAAACAAGAACAGTTTAAAAACAGTAACTGGGCTGCCTCTGTTAAAAACAACAGAAATGCGAGCAGGGTGGTTAATTCAGCCCAGTTGTCAGTAAGTTTAAAAGTTCTGATCTAATAAGTGGTTGGTCTGCTAGACAATTCTTTATTAATCACAGTTGTCAATGTTTTCTTGTATATCATGAAGTAAGAAACTAACAAGGCATGTATATACGCATAAAATATTAATTTATAAAAGAGCATAAATAAAAAAGTTATTCACATCAGAATAACATCATCACACTAAAGACATCAAACTAGAAAAAACTTGTTAAAAACTATGAGGAGACGACAGGAACAGTCAAGCTAGGTCGCTTAATCCAGAGATGGAATCACTTCATCCTCTACCAGCTCTTCCAGGAGACACAGGAGCAGGAGGATCCACGGGCCTACAGGACGACCAGGAGTAGGTAAAACACATCGTTGTTGACCTGCATTCTTACTGGACACTGTCCCAGTCTTATCATTATGTTTGTTTATAAATGCAGAGTTTTCCTTCTGGTTTCTGAAACTGTGATTTGTGTTTGTGTTGCAGTTCTCTGGGCTCCCCTGGCGACTCTGTCATTAGAGAGCTGTTTTGTTCTGAAGTTGAGAACCGCAGCCCGTGTCTCTGTGGCATAGAAACAGTCTACTCCTCCCTCGTGTTGCTGTTCAACATGCATTACCCTGACTCTCAAGGTGAGTCTGAGAGCACTGAGAGCATGGATATCTGTGACTGTGAATTACTCTGTCTTTGAAACTTGAACTATTAATGATTACATAATGGTTTGAATTAATTTAGTTTTTGAATGAGCAGAGGGAAATATCTGCTTGATTTGATGTATACACTGATATTCATTGTACTTTGACACTTCAGGAGAAAGAATAAAGGAGCACGACTTTGCTGAGATCCTGAAGAAAAGCATCTGCCTGCAGCAGAGATCTCACACATGGTGTGGAAACTGTGACAAGTATCAGCCCACAGTGAGTTACAGCTTTCATTCACTCATAATGACAATTCATTTATGGTTGATTGTTACCTGTTGTGCAGGGTAATCATTTCTTTGTGTTACACTGTAGGTGCAGACACGCAACATTCGACGTCTCCCAGATGTTTTGGTGATAAACTGTGAGGTGAACAGCAGCAAAGAGGCCGAATTCTGGAAGGTTCAGGCCGAGGTAAGCCACTGATTCACTGTGTTTAAATACAGTTAAAAGAAAGTAATGATTTATCTGTTCATTATTTACATGATTGCCCATGTTTCTGTTTTTATTGTACACCTTCAACAAATCCATGCAGAAGACAGATCAGGATCAGCGTCACGTGTGGATCCCCGCCACTCTCAAGATGTCCCTCAGCAAAAGTCAGAGACTGGAGATCAGCAGCTGGCCTGAGGGCGAGGAGGTGAGGACTTTAGATTTTCAGCTGATCTTTGCACTTGAAGAAATAACTGAGTAACTTTTCATTACTGAGTTAAAATTTCACTTCAAAATTAAATCCATATTTCCAGGAGCAATATTTTTAAAACATTATTACACTAATCTGAAGCATTGTAGATATTGAACTATAGGTTGGTTTTAGTGTTTTTGTTTCTGTAACACATGAATTTCTCAACTTTTGTGAAATGAAAAAGTTTATCTTACAATTATTTGCACTTTCTGTTACTAGTTAAGTGCTGCTGAACAGGCGGAGGGAGCTTCTCTGTATGACTTGGTGGCGACGGTGCCGCACATCCTGGACGCTGGCGCGGGTGGTAATATGGTCGCACACATCAAAGTGGGTGAGACCTACCATCAAAGAAAAGAGGTGAGCGACGCTTAGATAAGAAAATTTGACATCTGCTGACTACAAAAAGTTTCATTTTTAACATTCAAAATGATTTTATTATTTCAGGGAGTCTCTCGCCAGCAGTGGTACCTCTTCAATGACTTCCTCATTGAGCCGATTGAGCAGGTAAGGATCCTAGATAAGATTCCTGCTTGTTTATTCATGCTAACTTTAATGTGTGCAGTCATTTAAAAATGTTTCTCCTTTTGTTTTCAGACTGAGGCTGCACAGTTTGATGTGAGCTGGAAAGTGCCAGCCATCCTGTGTTACGCCAAGAGAAACTACCACACCAAATACGACCTCCGCAGTGAGTGTCAGCACAATCAGTCTGAAGTCAAATCCGACTTATATCGGACTGAGAAGCATAGCAAGACAGACGCCACTTTCATCCCACTCACAGTCAGTGAGATGCCGCAGGCTGGTGACCTGGTGGGGCTGGACGCTGAGTTTGTAAAGCTCAGTGAGGTAAGTCTGGCTATGATACCATCATTAATTATAATATAGGATCAAAAACAATTTTAAATATTCCTAATACATATTTTCAGTAGTTCAGCTAATCTGACTCAAGTATTTAAAACAAATTTGACCCCTGAATGTGTGCGTTTGCAGGAGGAAGCAGTGCTGCATAGCGACGGCACCAAATCGACCATCACGCCCAGTCAGATGTCTGTGGCCAGGATCACCTGTGTGAGGGGTCAGGGGCCCAACGAGGGGGTCCCCTTCATCGATGACTACATCTCCACTCAGGAGCAGGTGAGAAGCTGCAGAGAGAAAAGACCACGCTGACCTGAAAGAATGAATATATAATGTTTCAAGGATCCACCCGCTAACTTGTCAATTTGTTCTTCCAGGTGGTCGACTATTTGACAAAATACTCTGGAATTGAACCTGGAGACCTGGATGCCACAGTATCCTCTAAGCACGTGACCACGCTGAAGTCGACCTACCTGAAGCTACGCTTCCTCATCAATGCAGGAGTTCGCTTCGTCGGCCACGGCCTGCAGAATGACTTTCGTGTCATTAATTTAGTGGTACGTTATTTCATCTGTTATATATTTCAAATTAGTTCATATAGTTTAGAGATGTTTTTTTATAGATGTGCTTTGATTTTAATGTTTTTTATTTTCTGTTTCTTAAGGTTCCCAAAGATCAAGTTATCGACACGAAATTCCTTGCTTGGTATTTTCTTGGTAAGTTAGTAGAAATAAAAAAAACAAAAATCTAATCCAAATATGAGTCTGTAATCGAATTAAATCACATTATTACAGTGAGAGGGATTAGGATTTAAATATGTAAACTGGATAATCCGCTCATATTACTGTCAGTATTAAGTTAAGTATTCAGTATTAAGTCAGTATAGTTCATGATGTTTTAGTTGTCATCAAACTCATCTTGGAATTAAATCTGAACAACAAAGTATTTAGAGGCTTTTTTGAGTTCATGCACTAAAGCGTACGTGTCAATTCCTCATATCCACACTGTAATCTGAAGCTGAACACTTTCATTTTAATCATTCCTGACCTTTTTTTCATGTCCACAGGCCTCAACATCCAGGGAGAAACCCACGACAGCACGGAGGACTCATGCACAGCCCTGAAGCTTTACAGGAAGTACCTGGAGCTGTATCAGGAAGGAGGGAATCATTACGTGATGAAGGTGCTCTACGAAGTCTACGACAAAGGCTTCCAGTTGAACTGGAAAGTCCCGGATTCGGACATGAGATAGTCCGTCTGAGTGGACTGAATGCACTCTCCTTCCATCCACGGGTGCTGCTGTGCTTCCCTCTGTGATGGGACTGTGAGCAACACCATGACCTGAGGATGCTCGGGCTGCTTATTTTGTATCATATTTTATAGTTATTTGCTTTGAGTCAGTGACTCAGTTGTTTTTATCATATCTAAATATAAGCTTTTTATTTCAGAGAGGTTTACAGGGGGGAAAGTGATCATTCAAAATATGAATTTGAACCTTTTTTTTTTCTTTAAAAGAAAAAAACAAAATTGTTGCATGTAAATGAAGTCATCCTGAGCACTGTGTTACAATCCAATGTTGTCAGTGTTTTGTTTAGGCGTGACTGTTATGTGTTTCCTGCTTTACTTTGAAGGTCTGTCTTATCTCAGTGTGTTCAGTTTACGCTTCCTTGTCTCGTCAGTTCTGATTTGCCCCAGCTGTGTTTCCCTCCTGTTGTCCATTCCCTGATAGCTCCCTCTATGTATTTAAGCCCTATATTTCAGTTTGTCATTGTTGCTGTTGTGGGCAGCACGGTGGCACGGTGGTTAGCACTGTTGCCGCACAGCAAGAAGGTCCTGAGTTCAATTCCACCATCAGGCCGGGTCTTTCTGTGTGGAGTTTGCATGTTCTCCCTGTGTCTGCGTGGGTTCCCTCCGGGTACTCCGGTTTCCTCCCACCGTCCAAAGACTTGCAGTTTGTGGGGATAGGTTAATTGGATAATCCAAATTGCCACTAGGTGTGAATGTGAGTATGAATGGTTGTCTGTCCTTGTGTGTTAGCCCTGCGACAGACTGGCGACCTGTCCAGGGTGTACCCTGCCTCTCGCCCTATGACAGCTGGGATTGGCTCCAGCACCCCCCGCGACCCTGAAAAGGATAAGCGCTAGCGAATGGATGGATGGATTATTGCGATCTCCCCCTGTGTTGTAAATAGTTTGTTGTATATAGATGTAAATAGTTGTCGATACTTTGTCTTACTTGGTAGCTGTAGGGGTGAGAAGCCATTTTTCTTTGGGAACCTTTTCTCCTGTTTTTGGTTAGGGAGGCAGGTAAGACACCTGTAATTTTCGTTTGGGGTTTTCTGTGAAGGTAAGCCAGCTGCATTTCATTTCTAGAGTTTTTGTTTGTTGTTTTGGCCATGCTCACCCTGACGCCTGCTACCTTTTGGGACTTGATAAATTGACAGGCTGTTGTGAAATCCGTGGTAGCTGTTTTTGTTGGTTCGTCTTCCTTGAGAGCAGGGAGTGTGGGGGCATTTCTCCTTATTTTTATTTTTCTTCTGTTGCACGCCAGTTTTCCCTGGGCTGGGGTGTAACAACTGTAAAATGTTTGATGTTTGATACCAGGAAGTGGAGAATGTGCATGAATCCATGCAAATCTTGATTAAAACAGATTCCAACCACAATGAATTTAGTTTGTTTGTTTCACCAGCTTCTGTGAAATCTGTTGCACTGTTCATTTTACAGCTGGATTTTTATTTTTATTTTTTTAGGTTTCTCAGAATTCAGATCGATTTTTAATTTTTCAAAAGCTGTTATTTCTCTTCTATAAATGACACATGTAACATTTTTGGGGGAAAAAAATGTCCTCAATATTTCACATCGAGCTCTTTAAAAAGCCCTAACTGGTAAGGACTGTGCTTCAAGTGCAGCATTTACAGCCACCACCTTTGAAAAGTAGTAACCATACTTTAATAGATGTGTTTAATTTAACCCTGTCAAGGCAGGCGTTGCAGATTTGCAACAAGTAAAAGCTAAACAACCTGATTACCCCACATACATATTTTATGAGTTTTTTTTTTTTTTTCCCCTCAGAAGTACCACTGGAGGTATTCTTTTGTACATTAGCAACAAAAACTTAATTTGAGCCTGAGAGGGTTAATAAATCTTTAAGTCACATTTGAACGATTTTTTGATATAATGGTGCCCTCTGCTGGATGATCTGCATACTCTTACCGTTTCCACACAGTTGTTTTTAAAGGTTTGTCATTATTTTCATTGTTTGTTTTTTTTTTGGCTTGTTTTGTTTTGGGAACCATAAAATTTTTCGAGCTCCTTGTCTGGTCTTACAACAACTCTACAAGTAAAACCAAACATACAGTTAGTAATGATCCAGGAGATATGTTAAAAATCTACACAACACAATGGATTTCGATGTTCCACGAAAGAATTTGTAAATCTACACAGTATAGTAATCCTGTTCAGCTGGATATGAGGAGGTCAGGGATGAATGTGTTGTGCAGTCTCAATAATGTTAAAGCAATAGTGTGATCACAAAACTGATAACTGGGAGGCTTAAAAACGAGCTCTCAGAAATATTGTAACATCGAGTAAGTAAATGCATGTATTTGGAAACATATACTTCTAAAAATACTTTTATTGCACCATGTTCATTCACTCATGAGCTGCTGTAACATGAATCAAATGGCTGAATTTCCAACTCAGCATGCAGTCAAGTTCTATAGTCTTGCTAATGACCTACTAGGTGTGTTACGCGTCGGGAGTGAGAACGGGTTGTGCAACAGGGACACATGGGAAAAGTTGCAGGACGGCGGCCCTCGAGGACTGGAGTTTGAGACCCCTGCCGTATGGTGTTCATGCAGTTATCTACCCCACAGTGACAGCATGTCTGACTGCCTGTTCAGCATATGTAAAAATATATGATGAGTTTAAGCATGTGATGACAAACATGGTGTTTGTCATCACATGTCACATACATCTGGATGATCATTTGGAATAAACAAGAAACTAAAAACTTGTTGCTTCATCTTTTACCGTTATTATCATTATTATTATTATTATTGATCTTATTTTACATTTTTCATTGTTAGGCATTAGGTTTATTTTTTTTTCCTTCCAACTTCTTTTCCTCTTCCATGTTACTGTGTCAGCTTGTCAGCATCTATTTGGGGTTGGGAGCGGAACAGAAAGTAAGGAAATCCAAAGTGCCATTTAAACCAGGAGAGGTTCTTTTTCAGAAGAAGGGATTAATTCAAAAGAAATGAATTTACACAGGTGTTGTCGAGTTTGGCGGGCCACTCAAGCGGCCCTACTACGCACAAAAGAGAACAACAAACGCATCGCAGATCGGCACCGGACCCGTTCCCTGTGCAACTGTGACTGAGCAAGAAGAGTGGTGGAGAAAAGAGGAGCTGTTTGTGTGTGGAAACCCCCTCCCCTGGACTCCGGCCCCTTTCACTCCTGGACCCTGGAACCCTGGCCCTTTCCCCCAAACACCTTTGTATATATATTGCACTGTGGCAGATCACTGTAAATAAATTCACTCTTGTTCGAAAGGAGTTTGTGGTCTGCGCTTGAGTCTGTCCCTCTACTCCTCTTCAGTTCGCCTCAACATAAGCTCATCATATTCTATGATTTACTCTCAGGTGTTTGACGAGGTTAATGGTGCTGTCACAACACCTTACTGTCTTGCCACATGTATCGCAAACCGCGTCTTAGCTGTTTGTGGAGGTAAAATACATCCACACATGACTCCGTTTATGCTCAGCCATTGCTGTGAGTGTGCATGCCAGAGGCTGCTACACATTTATCCAGCCGTATTTCACAAATGACTAAGGCGTAAGAGGAAGTAGTTCCTTCCAATTTAGACGATCCGAATGATATAGTTTATTTCCACTGTTCCTGTTAATGAAACACTACAAATTTACCCCAAAGTACTAAAATATCGATATTTTAATATGAGAATCGATTCTAGAACATAAATTACTGGTATCGGAAGAATCGATATTTCAATATCGATCCGCACACCACTATTAGGAACTTCGTCTGTGTGTCATTCCAATTCAGGTTTTTATTATTTTATTTTATTTATTTATTTATTTATTTGTTTTAGGAATTTGGATTTTAGGATACTTCAAACAAATCTGCCAGATTAACAGGGTGTGTGAAGCTGGAGTTTGACACAAGATTGGTATTTTTAAAAGATTTAAATCACCAAATTCTGAATAAAAGTTTAACAAATTCAGGACATAATTAGTAATAGAAAGTAATAGAAAGCTAGTTGTATACATTATTAATCAGGATCAAAATTAAGGCATGTCAAAGCTATCCAAAAACATACCACATTAAATGCACAAAAGGCGCACAGAAAGCATACTTAGTTAATCTTTGAGTAGCCAGTAAAGATTATGAAGGTGCTAATTAGAATAACAGTTATCTGTTCTGCAAAGAAAAAAATAAATATGGGTAAAATTAACATGAGTATGAGAAATTTCAGCATTAAGATCTACCTAATGTGCAACAGTTCCCTGACATCTGTTTCATCTTTACAACACATGGCTACTTCACAAAATGCACAAAATAAAAGATTACCAGAAATTATTGAATTACAAATGAATGAAATTGTTACAGCTCAATTAACAGTTTTCATGTGGATCTTTGTGGGACTGTGTGCCATGATACATACTGACACAGAATGAAACGGCAAGATTTTGAGTAGATGTCCCCAACACAAAAACGTTTTTTTAAACAAAGGTAGTTTGTATTTCTGTGTATATTGCGAGTACAATGTTTTACTTATGTTTACATCAGACATCAAATCTACTCACTCTTTAGAATATAAGAACACTCAACTCTTTTCTTTAAAAACATCTATAGATTGATAAAAATCTATTAGTATAACTACAAATCTATGCTCTGTGCTGTGTTGATAATCATGCATGCAAATCAAAATCAAAGATGAAAACGATGACATAATTTTTTTTAAAGTTTGATTACAATTCCAAAATTTATTATGCCATTCAAAAATATTTTGGTGAGCACACATATTTTTCTTTATTTGTTTTCCTTAAAAACCAAGCCAAATTCTTCTGGGATTAAATATTATATAAGCTATTAATAAAAACACAACAGATTAACTCACTGATACTATGGAAAAAAGGAACAAAGAAAAGCCTGACTTCTTGTTGGTTATCTGAATAACCACAGATTTCTGCATTCATTATGTGTTGCTAGCTGAATGTAAATCACTGGATCC